GTATGTATGTATGTATGTGTGTAAGTATGTATGTATGTATGCGTATGTGTGTGTCCGTGTTTTTAAATACATAAAAATATATTAATGTTTAGGACATTAGTCGAAATCGAACGGAACGTTTGGACAATTCCTAAACACACGGATAGTCGGAAAAATTCGCATAGAAAATTTGCAATAAATAGTTTAACAGATATACCTTTCCATACATTTTTTATCAAGACATGTTTTAGAAAGAGATCGAAATTCAAAAACAATTATATATATATATATATATATATATATATATATATATATATATATATATGTGTGTGTATATATATATATATATTTAGAGAGAGAGAGAGAGAGAGGGACTACAAACATTTTATATATATTATATAATAATATATTTATAAAATAATATCATATGTTCATAAATATTATATATATTATATATATACGCATACATGTATATGTATACATACGCACACACACAAAACACACTCACATATATATAGTTGCATATATATATATATATATATATATATATATATATATATATAGAGAGAGAGAGAGATTGTATATATATATATATATATATATATATATATATATATATATATACATACACACATATATATTTCGCTATAGACATAGATATATAAAGACTAAAAGAACATTTTTCTTTATTCATATTATGTTTTTACGTTTTGTACGTATTTATGTATGTATGTATATATGTAAAAAAATATCTGTATTTTGATAGGTACCTGTGTTTTAATTGTTAGGCCTGTTTTGTTAAACAATGAAATTTATATTAACGGACTTAAATTGAGAAGACTAATAAAATTGTTACTGCCACAAGAATCGAACCTACACCTATTAAACACAGGGGTTTCAAGTTAAACACGTGTACCAACTAAAATGACGTTCATAGTACTACTACTTACAATATATATATATATATATATATAATTAGTTGTATGAACGTTATTTTAGTTGGTACACGTGTTTATGTTGATACCCCTGTGTTTAAGAGATGCTGGTTCGATTCTTGTGGCAGTCACAATTTGTATGTGTGTATATAAAATTATGCGTTAATGATATATATATTTTTTCCTGTATAAAATTTAAATGTTGAATGTGTTTTTAAATCCTCAATACCCCAACGAAAAACAACCGACAATATCTTCTACCATGACTGCACCTCACCTGTAAAGAGAGCTCACGTGTTCGTTTGTTTCCTTGATGTGTGTATTATTGGCCGTGATTAGCGTGTTGACAGCTGCATTCCCGCGGATATATTTCTGTGTGTCGTGAGAATTGTGTATGCGAATTGTTTTATTTTTTTCACGTTGGCCTTCATTTTGTTTATTTGAAATTTTGATGAGCTACTTGTCAATGAAACCTGTTTAAATATTTAAATGTTTACAAACCTTAGAATAATATATCAGGTTAATGTCGGTTTGGGTGGGAAAAGAAAGTTACGTTCATTTGTCAAGCGGGGGGAATGGTTGGTCGATCTTAAAATGAAACCTTCAGAATATTTACCCTGTCCGACCTAAAACACCGACCACTGGCCCTGATTGGAACTATTCAATTACTTCAACTCCCAGACCAACATTTTTTTTTATTGCAAAAGATTACGTCTGTTCAAAAGTTTCCAGTTTTCGTTTCATTTTTTTATACTTGAAACTATAAATCGATTTTAGCAGAAATTTCACAAATCTAAAATATGTCAACATTCATTTACATCAGTGGGTACGAATTTTCCGTTTGTGTCTCTGCATTGTGTGCATATGCTTATATGTGTTTTTGTCTATGCGCGTGTGTTGGTGTATATATGCGTGCAGTTTGTGTATTTTATTTGGGAGCTTTTATGTGTGTGTGTTTGTGTGAGTCTGTGTGCGTGTTTATCACTGTTTCTGTTTTCTTGTGCGGAGTTCTGTAAAGAAAGATTCCTTATGAGTGTGAATGTATGCATGCGTGTGTGTGCTTTTCCTCGTGTGTGTATTTGTGAGTGTTTTTGATGTGTGCTTCTATTTATGCATGCCTACGTGTGGGTGTCTGTGCGTATTGGCCTAAGTGCCTGTATTTCTCTTTTTGTGTGTTCATGTGCTCATACTTGTGTTTGTATGAGCGTGTCTGTTATCATGTGCGTGTGTGATTATCATCGCATGCCTGTGTGTTTGCCTCTCCCCTCTTATGTTTGTGTGCACCTTTGTATGTGTTTCTGAGCCCATGTGTGTGTGCTTGCGTATTCCTTTTATGTTTTTGCACGCGTTTGCGTGCGTGCGTGTGTGTGTGTGTGGCTGTGTGTATTTGTGTGCGCATGCGTATACAATTGTGTATCTCTGTTGTGTTTGTGTGTGTGCATCTCAGTGTTTACATGTTTTTCCGTCTCCGTTTGTGCGTATTGGTCTGTGAGTGTTGTGTGTGTGTGCGTTCGCGTGTGTGTGCCCGCACATGCGACGTACAAGCCTTTATATTGATTCTGTTTTTCAACGTTAAATTTTCTTTCCTCACGATTCCACATACCAGATCATATTTAGTTATCTACACACAGAGGCATTTAAGCAACAACTACGGTATTTTCTTCTCTCCGCGTTTGTCTCCATGTGTCTGGATGGCGATGTGCATCTATGTGTATGTATACGTATATATTATCACCTATTACACTTATCATAAAAAGCTTTTATCTTTGTATATATATCTGCGTTTGACGAATAAAAAAAAAAAAAAAAAACAGAATTTGTGACTGCCGCTTGGCTGAAAAGATTGTATAGTTTGTAAATTCTCTACCCGAGTCACTGAGATCAAATGCTGAGATCTCAATAGCAATAAGTATTCATCATTCGGAGTTTGGCGCAAAATAATTTTCTTATCCATCTTTACCCCAATTTTGTGGCACACCAAAAGTTTATAAAATAAGTCACTCGCTATTTTCTGTCTATCTAAATCCTATTCTTCCTTGTCTTTTTTGTTTCTCTCACTCGCAGTGACACTCTGCATCCTAAACACTTTCATCTCCTTACTTGAGTTGAAATGATGAAAAAAGAAAATGGAAGATGTTGAATTAACAGCGATTTTGTGTCCTTGAAATTTTTTTTTTTATTTATCGTTTATGCATTAAGAAACACCGCTAAAACAAAAAGGCTAAAATGCTTCAAGCAAAAAACATGATAAATACACACACATTCACACAAATATTTTATATATATATATATATATATATATATATATATATATATATCGTTAGATAATTTTATATTACACACAAACTCACACACACAGATATATATATATATATAATATATATATATATATATATATATATATATCGTTAGATAATTTTATATACACACAAACACACACACACATATATATATATATATATATATATATATATATATATATATATATATATATATATATATAGAAGTAATAGTAATCTTATAAGTATAAGAAATTATACTCGTTCGAAAAATAGAGTTTTGATTTGCAAATAATCAAACCAATACCAAAGGGGAAAAAAAGGTATAAAAAAGAAAGAACCAAGAACATGTACGTTAAACGAAAATAATCGTCTAGCATGCAAAATCCAAAGCCTCCAAAAAAAAAACAACCCCGATGAGTGTAGGCAAATTAACAATAACTAATAACTATATATATATATATATATATATATATATATATATATATATATATATATATATATATATAGTGTATTGGGGTTGCAGATCATTATTCAGACATATATTGTTAAATGTAGCAGAGTGTCTATTATGTTTGACCATGTGCCGTTCTAAACTTCGTATGTTTGTTTTCATTTCGGCAGAAAACAAAGACAAAAAGTTGCCCAATATATGGTTATTTTATTTAGATCAAGGAACAGCATAATAAAAAATATTAAAATTTCGGACAATTTTTGTCTTTATTTTCACCCGAAATTAAAGCAACTGTACTAATTTTAGATCGGCTCATGATCAAACATAATAGATATTCGTTGCCTGATATATTTAAAAAGAATGTTGGAATATATACATGTGTAGATCTAGTTAACATCTATACATATATATATATATATATATATAGATAGATGTTTTTGTATGTTTTCTTAAACAAGAATGACAATGTAGTTTTCTTGCATTCTGCGTCATATTGTTCTTGTATAGAAAGATGTGTTTCCTTTTCTAGACGTTCTAATGTTTTATGCATATTTCCGATATTAAGCAATCTACTACAAAGCCTGTCTGCCTTAAATGCCTTTCTATAAGCAAACTACTAAGAAATCAGCAATTTAGGCTTGAAAAACACACACTATATATATATATATATATATATATATATATAAGCATTTCACCCCAAGCAAGGCGGGAAGCCACTAGCACGCAAGGAGTTACAGAGGATTTGAAGCGAAAAGGACAGGGGATAGATCAAGGCATCTGAAGACGTCGATTGACATTACATTTGAATAGTTGGAGATTATACCTATCAGGGAAAAAGAAAAAGGTGAGGAAATGTTTAGGACACATAATAAGCAAAGAATTCTTGTACAATGTGACATTAACAGAACATATTGAAGGTAATTGGAACAGAGAAAAGCAGTGAATAACCAAAGTAACAACTAAATTGTTGGCAGACCAGGATTGAGCAACAAGAATAACCTTACTGTTAAGAAGAATAGAAAGCTGTTGAGAGCCAGTATTGCACTTATCTTACAGAAACATCTCATATGAAAGAAGAATATATATATATATATATATATATTGAAGGTGGTTTGAGCGGAAGTAAACATTGAATTACCTAGCTATGGATCTATTGTGAATTGTGGAGCGTGAGACGAGGGATCGCTTCATTTCAGGCTTGAGGTGTCGTAGTTAGTACAGCAGCCACCACACTGCGATTTATTGAGACTAAGCCCTCGACCGACTCGATTCGTCCTCATCGAGGGACGACTGAAACCGGCACCTGATGAGGAAAAAAATATATTGTGAACGGACCTCAGACTGGGAACAACTATGTTCCGACGTAGGATTCGGTCGGCACCCCTCTGTCCATCCATCTTCCGCTTCTTTGTTTATTTTGTTTTAGCAGCTAACAGCGATATCGGTTGTGCCGCTGATTTGTACCGGCCAGCTGCTATTAGGCATTGTTGGACAATTCAATCACTGTCGGCAGTGTACAACGTGAGAGACGCACTTGGACGCCGTCGACCTACACTAAAGAAGGGAAGGCAGGCTTCTGATTCTTCGCCCGACTATGAATTACACTGTGAGCTATGATCGTCCATACTCTGAAGTGAAACGAGAAACTAAAAAAAAAGTTGCAATTCATTTTCTCGGAACAAAACGAACATTGGGTTAAAATAATTTTGCGAAGGCTGGATATCAGATTTAGGAAAGGCGTGATTGTATACTTCGTTCTCATAAGTTAGTTTCCTTTGAAGTCACTAAAATTTTAACAACTCAAATGGAAACATACAATCATTGATTATTCCAATGCATAACATTTTAATGTTTTACTTTATAATAAATAAGTAAATGGAGTCTAAATGAAATAAAACACATGAAAATACCAAATGCTTTTCTTTGTCGTAGTAATAAAGTTTTGATAATAATTTTCGTCCATAAATGTTACATCTTAGTAAGTTAAAACTAAAGGTTTGACAGACACACACATTCACGCACACACACACCAGTATTACCAATGTCCGGATAATCAATACAGTAATTTTTGTGTGTGCGTTTTGTTTATCATTCTTGTATACGTACTTTGGCGCACACATAAACGCAAACACACACACATGTGTGTATGTGTTTGTGAGTGTGTGTAAGTGTGTGTGCGTGTGTGTGTGCTTGCTTGTGCAAAAGTAAGTATACATTTTTTTAGATCTGTACCACCAAACTAACGATAAATATGATTTGCTTATCGTGTCAAAGCAATTTTGTGAATCTAACCAAACATTTTTCAGAAGAGTTTATCACAGAGAAAGGCTGCATGTCGTTGACATGCAGACTCCAAATTGCCCTACTCGAGTGTAAATTCTGATTTTTCCTTCTCTTAGATTGGTTGCCAACCAAACATAGAATGTCCTCTCTGCCCTGAGAGGAAAGGGGGGGGGAATTCACAATGGCAGTTTGCAAAAGTGAACGTAACGAGCGCATCTGAAATTTGAGCTCGTTATACCGACAATTTCACGGGGATAACCAACACACGCCATGACATTCGTATATCCGATATAAAATAAATACTATATCTCGCTGGTTAACCTGTCATCCAGCTGAACCCTGCGAAATTAGCGGCCACATCAATAAACATATGTTGTATGGCAATAAGTCATCCGAATGGATTAGAATTCCAGTCGAATCCATAACATTCACTTACGTGGGAAAGGTATGAATCCTCCTCTTCTCTCCCCCCAGCTATGGGTAAATAGCAGACCGGATTCTATAGCCTTGGAAGTCAACTGGTCTACCGCAGAAAGAAATGACAACCTAAACGGCTTCGTCAGTCATGTATGAAAAGATAGATGCTCGCCTAAGCGTGTATCATGCATGGCACATTGACTGACTACTATATGAAAGATACGCGTGTAGACACTCTATATATAAAATAAAAAAAAAAAAAACTGAGGCTTACAGGATGTGGGGAAGTAAATAATTTTTTTTTTGTTGTTGTTGTTCTTTTAAATTTATGTCCATTCTAGTACAATATTTTTATAACTACACTGTTTATATCTATGTATGTTCCATCCGAAATAGTAAACCATCTTCTTCTAAATATTGCACATCGTATATATATATATATATATATATATATATATATATATACGTGTGTGTGTGTGTGTGTGTGTGTGTGTGTGTGTGTGTGTGTGTGTGTGTGTGTGTGTGCAAATGCACAGAAAATGGGAAAGAAACACGTTAGGTAAATAATCCGCGGTTCTTTAGGAGTTTTGTTTTATTTTTTCAAAACAGTGCTCAATACAAAAGTAGAGCCTATATATATATATATATATATATATATATATATATATATATATATATATATATATATATATATATATATTGGGGTGGAGAATGCGAGAGTAATTCCTCAATTTATGCTGAAAAACATTTTGGCATTACAAAATAACACATTGCTCTAAAAGTGGGTGTGATTATTCATTTGGATAAATTAGGAATCGAGTCGTGCCGATGTGTGCATTTAGGCAGCAATCATGTTTTACTGCATGTTTCATTGAACAACATTGAAAAGGTACGTTTTTGCTCATATAGTTTTTAAGATATTTTTTCTTTCCTGCATACAAATGTTAATGTAGTGTGAGAATTATTAATAAGTGTAAAAATTGGCCAAAATTATGTTGATTCTGATCGCTTTCGGCTAAAGTATTTGTCATTTTCAACAAATTTTATGTGAGTGTTATTGTAGCGGGTAATAAAATGTGCTGAAAGTAGACATCTTGGAACCAGTAAAGTGTTGAAAGTATATACAATAATTTAGTAAAGAAGAAAGATTATTTCTAGGCATGAAAGAACTATATATATATATATATATATATATATATATATATATATATATATATATATATATATATTGGCAGCAAGTTTTCTTTTAAATATCTTTCGTTAAATATGACAGCCAAGGATGATTTATGTAGCTTTTCTTACATTATTCCCTTCTGGTGGGAGTGAGAACATCCAATACCTGCTCATAGCGTCCATGGTCCCAAGCGCTTTCAGCCACTTCCTTAACTATTCTCAGGGTGGTTTTGTTTTAGTGTTGTTAGTTTCTATTCAAGTTTTGACTGTTTGAGATGTTTGTCTAGTTACATATATATATATATATATATATATATATATTGCTGATACCTCTTGACGGGTGTATACAGAACGTTTAAAAAAGGCTACGAAATTCCAAGTTGAGGTTTTGAATGACACATTGCATCGTTTGCCGTCGTTCCCTCGCCGGTAGTTTAAAATTGTTCGAGGATACACATTTGTAATGTTGAAATATAATTGTAATTGTGTAGCGATTTTTATCATGTCTTTGTCTGATTATCCTAAATAAATACTATTTAGCTCTACTCTGCATTGAGCCCTCTTTTAAATTAAGTGTTACATTTGGACAGTGGAATTAGACCCCAGCATTTAGCATATATATATATATATATATATGGCATTCGAAGGAATCGCATAAATGTTGAAATTTGCTTACCTTCTTTTTCAAAAGTAATTTACGAGATCATTTTGGGGAGAAGATACATTCTCTTCCTGAAGGTTTTTATCATATATTCAATAATAATAATAATAATAACAAAAATAATAATAATGGGGGTAATTTCTCAACAATCTAGCCATTAAGAGCATGGACGCCAAAACTAGAAAGCTTCTCACTCGCTACCACATGTATCATCGAAAAGCTGATGTTTATCGTCTCTATGTTGCCAGATCCGAAGGAAGCAGAGGATTAGTTCAACTAGAACTGTCTCGCAAAACTACAATAATTGCTCTTCAAAGTTACCTGGATATTACAAAAGACTGGATAATGATATGTATCAAAGAACATGAAAGTAGTAAGCGACTTTATTCCATAATAAAAGAAGGCAACAAGTTCAAAATGGAGTTTCAAACTTATACAGAGAAAGTAAAGCAGAATACATCGATTGAAGCTGCAAAATAGTTAAAAAAAGAAAACAAAAGCAAATGCCACCGACCATATACAGAAAAGATGGAAAGATAAACCGCTTCACGGTCAATACTCTGTCCGTACCAAACAAGCTGATGTAGACCAACCATGTACCCATCAGTGGCTACGTAGTGAAGGGTTGAAAGCTGAAACCAAAGGTCCTATCCTTGCAGCACGGAACTAATGCTTGTTAACTAGAAATTATCAAACACACATATTGAAAAATTATATTAGCCCAAAATGTAGATTCCGAGATCAATATCCTGAAAAATTGATCATCTTGTATCAAGTTGCACGGTATTGGCACCCACTGAATATAAAACTGGACAAGTAAGAAGGCCCAATATCTGCACTGGAAATATCTATAGCTTCTACGGAAAGAAAACTTAAAGAAATTGGTATGAACACCACCCAGACGCGGTTGCGGAGATAGTACCTTTATCATTTTTATAGGACAACACAATGCACGCAGATGAAACCATTAAATCTAATCGCCCAGGCAACGTTTTAGAGACCGAAAAAAAAAATAAATAAAAGGATTCCTTATGGATATAGCAATCCCTTCATACGACAATGTATTCTTGAAGATATTCAAAAAGATATCAAAATATGAGGACCATGAAATCAAAATCTCCAAAATATGGATATAAAAACGTCAACAATTCCTGTTGAGTTGAAGCCCTCATATTGGTCGGAAATGATTCCATTAGAAATATTGAAGAGATTCCTGGTAGCCCATGCCTTAAAGTAATACAATAAATGTTCTCACGGGTACAACCCACACATTACGAATGGATTTATCTATGGGAAATATGTATGTTTTTGTTTTGTTTTTTTTAATTAGTCAATGGAAAATTTCATGATGCCATTTCTGGGAGAGACGCAGAAAGACATGAGTAAACACCAAAAATCAAATGAAATAATAATAATAATAATAATAATTTTACGCATTATTCAATAAATCCTTAAAGGTTTAGCTATCTTTGCCCAATCTACCGTACTGGCTGATGGTAACTTTAATAGTAATGGATTTAAGATTTTTAGCTAGCCTCCTCTCCAAACATAAGCGTAGTTACTAATGAGATACATAGTTTCAGCATCCTTTACTAGTAGGAGAATGTATGAAGCTTACGAATTATTCAGTCCAGCAGGTGACCCCCAAAACATTGGCCTATAGTTCATATATATATATATATATATATATATATATATATATATATATATATATATATAAAAAAATCCTAAAGAACAAGCTACATAAGTTTCGCCTAAACGGATTTTCAGGGTACCCTGGCATGCAAATTCAGGGTACCTTGAAGATCCGTTTAGATGAAACCTAGGTTGGTTGTTCCTTGCTCTTTAGGATTTATTCCATTTACCCTGTTCTAGTTAGCGTAAATAGCACTTTAACTTCTAGCTTTATTACTCGCCTTTTTTTTTCTTTTTTTTTTTAGAGTAGAGACTTAAGGCACTGGTCGATTTATTTAGCCCTGTTCGGATGTTTCTAGTTCTTCCTTTTATTCCAATTTTTTTCCTCGGGTACCATTTTGTTTTCATAGACTTATAAGTCGTGCTATCCAAAGTTT